CCCCAAAACCCCAAAACCCCTACTTGCAAATCTATTAGATTTCTGAGAGAAAACTTTAGCTTGTAAATTATTTATTAAAATATCAAAATGGAAAGGAGAAACAGATTAAAAGATGAGCCTGACCCTTGGGGAGGTATGAGTCTCTCTGATGTTTTAGGTTCTAATCCTCGAGCTAATCAAAATAACAACATCAGATAAAATCATAATAACATACCAGTGGGACCAAGGAGGCAATCATAAAATAGGCCTGCAGTTCCCATATCTAGCAATAACAGAGTAAATAATCATCCTTATACACAGATCAATGATCGACCTATCAATTCCTCTCACAATCAAAGCAATTCTGCAGTTAACAGAATTAGATCAAATAACGGAAGATTTAATAACTTATAGCAATTACCACCATCAAGAGGTAGTAGGGGAATATCTGGAAATGGAAGGTAGAATGAACGAAACGCTTATCAGAATCAATATAATGCATATGGTGGTGGAGGGGACTACAATGAGTTTGATTAGTAGGACTATGAGGAGATGTTACTAAACTCAAGGCCTGATCCCTCTAAAAAGTAAATATGCAAGGTACGATAACTATTATTTGTTAATAATTCAGGAAACTGATCCAATCAAAATTAACCACAGCGGCTAATACAACCTGAACTTTATTGATTGGGACAATGAATGGGAGAGAGTCTTCGAACATAACTATTATAACCCCTCCTATGAATCCCCCATCGAGGGTATGGATATCCACACGTTTGAGATGCTCTATGTAAGTTACTTCTAATAAATTAATATATCTAGGATTCATATATGGATGCTGACATTAAAGAGACTAATGGTGTCAAAGAAGATGTCCTTAAAAAAATTCCAATAAAAACAGTTGCAAAGTCTGACCCAAACAAGATGTGCGCTATTTGCTTGAAATGCTATGAGAAAGGCAATAAAGTATTTTTCTTGCCTTGCAATCATCACTTCCATATTGAATGCATTAAGCCTTGGTTTGATAAAAATCACGTTTGTCCTAACTGCAGATTTAACATTAATGAAAATAAACATACTTGAACTAGCCTAACATAAGAGTGTCTCTGGCTTTTGATAACCTATTAGTGAAAAATTGAAAATAATTATGAAATTAAGATTAAATAACTAATTAATTCAGATCATTATCAATAGCATTTATATTATCATTAAGCCTACTGCTGCAGTAATTATCTATTCCTTTTTCTTTATTTAATCTTTTCAAACACTTCTGATTCTAATTCCTCCAAAGATTTAGCAGGTGCTACTTTATAAGAGCCACTTGGGAATGAAAACCCACCATTGTTAGTTGATAGGTACTTGGCTTTGAGTCTTTCTATTGGATCTACTCGCATGAACTTTTTCTTCTTCCTCTCCTCTCTATCTTGAGCCTTAGATGTACTATATAACCTCAATTTATAGCCATTAAGAGTTGTATTGTTATCCTTATTTTAAATTACTTTTAAAGCATGGTCTCTATACTTGAACATGGCAAAAGCTACCCTGCCTTCTTTATCAATAATTATGCCATCGAGAGTACCATACTCTGACATTATACTACGCACAGAGTCTTCACTCATAGCTATCTCAGACTCTTAAGTTTATGCCTTCATCTTGATTTTGATTGTAGTCTGATCATAGTGCTCAGATATATGATCCTATCTCTTCTTTTACTTCTCATCTTTCCTTTCCTCTTGCTCCTACAGCTTGACTTCTCTTATAAGTTTCTCCATTTCACTTTCAGCCTTGCGATAGCTTTCATCTGTTGTTGAGAACGATCCATCTGATCCCATTCTTCCTCTAAGTTAATCCTGGTACTCTTTTTCTCTTCGAAGTAGTTCTTCAATTATCTTTTTCCTATCAGCACCCTGACGCTCCATTCTCTCCTTAGCCTCTTGCCTCACTTTATAAAGAGCATCATAGTTCTTTCTGTCTGTTTCTGAGAGAAGAATTAAGGAGGCTGCCTTAATTTGCTCAAACTTGTCTCTTGCATTGGCAGCCTTGTTTCTATCTGGATGCCAAATCAGAGACATCTTACGGAAAGCTGAGCTGACATCTTTGTTTGTTGGAGTAAGTGGTTTCAAGCCTAAGACTTCATAAGGGCAGAAGTTCAGATCTCTCACATTGATTGTGCTTAAATTTTGTTATTGTTAACTCATTTTATAAACTATTATTATTTTTACACTATTATAGATTCATTCATTATGGGGTTTTGGGGTTTTGGGGTTTTGGGG